GGCTGTGAATGATTCCCATGTTGGACCCTGAGCAGTAAACTTAGCTGAACAACTCTACTTTACAGGATTTCGTAAACCAAACCTCAGCATTCGTTGCCTGTTGTTTTACTAGGCAAGTTTACATTCAGTTGTTTGTCCCTGTTTGCTCCACCGCCAAAATGAAAGCAAAAGAAGTCTGCTGCTGACACCACCTGCAGCTGAATCACACTGGGTATTTTAGGATTATGAACTGCATTCATAACTCTCAAACCACAGACATTGACACAGAACTGACACAGATTAGAAGACTGGCAGTGGTAACAAACATCATCTTGTGTGCGGCCCAGCAAAAAATTTCTAAAGTGACAATGAGAGGCACGACTGAGATAACATAAAGAAAAAAATAATTCTCAGCAAGCAGTATATGTAAGACAGAAAAAAATCACACGAGACAATAGAAAAGTCTTCTCCTTCTGCCTTTCATCTCTTTTCTTAGGCTCTCATTCAATTAATTCCAATCAAACCCGGTTAACTCTTTCAGTCGCCTGTAGTTGTTACTGCTGCAAAGTAACATTTTTGTACCACGGAGCAACCGTTTTTTAATCTTATAAATCAAAAAGTACAGCTTTGAGACAGCATGAGTCAGTGTAAAAGTTGAGTTAGGATGGGTTAAGATAAAAGAATTGGGCATAAGAAGTTAAAAAAAATGGTACCATAAAAAGAGTAACCAATAAACATACTGAGAGCTCCCTGGTAATGAAACAGCTGAGACTGCTTGGAATAGGTAGCTAAAGTTTTCAAAGGGGTCAGGTAGCCAACTTTCCTAAAAACCCAATTTTTAATTATTTTAAAACCTCTCAGTACTATGGTTATACTTTTTTTTTAAACCGATCTGGACTTCCAGATGAACCCAGCCTGGCTTATACTGTGCACATACAGCAGGTGATCATAAATGCCAAGCAGGGCTTGGCTGCCATGATGGCTGCAGCAAACTGTGAACAGGGTCATTTGTCTTTTGCATCTGGGGCTGGTCCTTTCTGTTTACGCGATGGTGATGCTGACTCTCAGCCATAAGTAGTTGGAGAGGATGTAAAGGATACAGAACGAAGATATACATATTATACTTGGGCATACAAGAGATACGGCATGTGGGGCGATGTGCTACTTTCTCGATTTTCCAACCAAGGTGGACAGAATACAAATCTGCTGAGCACAAGCCTACCTCAGAGTCAACACAGACACATGACACTCGCTATAATGATGCTATAAATAGGGATTCACAGGGAGATGGTGAAAAGACAGAATTGAGCGAGTCACATGTGAATTCGAGATCTGGGGGATTGAGAATGAGTTGGTCATTCTGTGACTGGACCCCAGATTGAAAGGATGTGAAGCTGAATCCAGAGGGATAAGTATAAACGTGGATCTGGATGAGAATCAAGTGAATGTTAATCTTGCACGACAAGAAATTGAGCGGTGATGAACTATTTTTTAGACCAACAGTTGTGTTCTACGACCTGTTGGTTATTCCAGTCGTGTACATGACAGTGTCATCATCTGAAGCATGGCTGGAGACTCAGAGAGTGAGCGAGGCGAGCTTGCCCGAATGGCGTAAGTGCATTAGTTCATGTCGCTTGTATTGCATTGACAAAAACCTGTGAAGTGCGCGAACATCACCCATCATGTGCCAAGTTGTTACGAGAAGTAAAGAGCCCAATTGTTACTGACAACATCCCCCATCATGTGCCATGATGTCATTACAATTTTGGGGCTTGCAGCACACACTAAATATGCTCAAGACATGAAAACAATTCTTAGCATTTTTGGGTACTTACTCACCATTCTAACCTGTGTATTCAGAAGATGCAGAGTAGTTGGTTGCCCCAGAACTGGTGGTGTGCCTTATTCAGTAATGCATGGGCACCTGCTGATTTGTTGTGACTGCTGCTTCCTTCAACTATGAATAGCAATCCTAGTCACAGAATGTAGATGTCGGCACATTTTGCTTCTGATGCATGTGCGAGCTGTTGGATTTTGTCGGGGTTGCTGTTATGTGTAATTTTTCACATGAAACAGTGGTGAACGTTTAGTAATTTCTTTTGCCACAAGCCCAACAACAAATCAATTATGGGGTGACCCATTTACGATGAGACTGGAACCGGGACTAACAGCCTGACAGCTTCTTCATAACATGATACAGGGTCTGAATCAAAAGGAGAGAAAAAAAAAAGACCTACCACAACAAGCAGAGCTGGGTCACTCATTCTGGCTCCCATAATTCCCTTGGATGAGTTGTCTGACTCCCCACCTGTGAAAAGGTCAATCAAGGTCAAATAGGCAGATAATCAAGGTCAAACAAACAGATAAGAAACACACTAAGATGTAAAGAAAATAGTAAATTATAAGTTAGTGAATGAACAATTTCATGATTCTCGAACACCTAGTTCAATTTCTGCGGTACAGTTTATTAGAAAACAAACATTCTCATGGTTTTTGGACAGCAGTATGAGAGTCGCACCATGGAAGAAATGGGGGAGCCTCACTGAGTAATATTCCCAATGACAGCAGTGGTGCATTGTAGTCAACATTCATTCTGGAAATGGTACAAAATGTATTATTTATTATTGTAGTTGACACATCCTTTACTGTGTAAGATTGTTGCATATCTTTTACAGGACACTGCAAACCAATCCCAAGTTGGCTGACTGTAGTTTTGATAGGCAATTTTACCCTCAATAGTTTGCCATTGCTTCTTAACAGTTCAACATTCATGGTGTTGTTTGAATCAACAAAAAGAATCTTTTACTAATTCAGGTGAAATAAGATATATAAGCAACAACAACAAAACAGTGACATTAAAAAACATATTAGTTAATTGCTTATCTTTTACAGGACATTGTAGAACCAACCCCGGCATTTTTTGGCTTTTTTTTTCATAGCAATTCATTTTCAGGAATTTGCTATTGCTTTCTGAATGAAGAGCTTTCAATACCACTGCCAAAATCCATACAAAGTGGTCTTCTGTCGAATCACCTCCAGCTGCAACCAAACCATGGATTATGGAATTACAAAGTGCGTACGTAACCTCTAAGCCACAGAAGCCGACCTTAAATCCCATAGAGAAAATTATTTTTCTTCTTCTTTAAGCTCACTGCCTGTAAACTCTGGAGGAAAGCTCTGGCTGTTCGTCCACTTCTAAGCTTTAGTCTTAGTCATTTCCATTTAATAGATCTGGCTTATTTGTATGCAGACTGTTGGTACCTCGTCTCTCAGTTTGTACTCCGACTTCGAAAGAAACACCCCAAATCAGTTGACTTTTAGGACATCCTTATTAGAGGGCAGTGGATCTAGTCCTCAACCCCCCCCCCCCCCCCCCCCCCCCCCCCTTTCCCTTTCACTCAACAGGGCTCCGAAACTCACACAAGAAAGAAAATAATATAAAAACAGAGGTACAAATGATAGGCAGGATAGGGGATGGGTTGCATAAGATGTCAAAGGATAAGAAAGCTTGGCACAGGTTGGTTGTGGTTCTATGCTTCATCCAGGAACAGACGGCCGAAGCAGTGAATAAGAAGAGTGTACAAAGCATGAGAGAAGATAGAATAAAATGTCAAATACACAACTCACCCATCATCACAGGTGATCCTACAGTTTTGAAATGTTCACATAGTTCAGGCATGAACTGACTTATATTCACCCCCTTGTCGATGTGGAGAATTTTACAGGGAACCTGGGAAAATTGTGGAATCAGATGCTCACTTTCAGTTTACCCTTTCAGTGCCAAGCAACACCCATAGGTATTTGATTAGTTTATACATTCTTCTAATACCATAATCAGTTCTATAGTAACTGTTTTATTTTATTTATTCTTTATTACTGAACTCCATCAGACACACAGACTGTACCTCTTCTTTCATTTGCTTGAAACAGATTATCCTCTAAAGTACTCATGTTGAAATGTTCAAGTAATGAGTATCTGGGACTGAAATAGTTCAAGTGTGCCGTACTTGTGAATTGTATACTGCAGTGGTAATCAAGCAGCTAAAACCTAGAGCCCCCTCTTATTTTCAAAGGTCTGCAATGGATCCCCTATTTGTTAACTGTCATACTGGAGAACTTACTACTTTCTGTAAATATTAGACTCCCAAGAAGGATTGCATTATAATGCTGAAGTCTTCCTTGTGTGGGTTCTGGGGCCCTATAATAGGGAAAACAAGAATAGACCCACTGCCTACCCAAAAGCATGTCGTAAGAGTCGACTAACTGGAAGTTTCCTTCGAAGTCGGAGTGCATCTGCCTGAGAGGCAGGAACCAGGAGTCTGCGTACAAAAAAAAAAAAAAAGAGTCAGATCTGTAAAACGGATGCACATGTAACACTCATGTTCTGGAAAGGGACTGCAGTCCAGAAGTGGATGAACAACCAGAACTTTCCACGAGTTTACAGCTGGTGAACGCGTAGAAGAAAAAGATAATGCTGCAAGTTTTTTGGTAAATAATATCACAGACCCCTTAAATTTGTTCCACATGCCATGAAACAGGAAAAACTTGTGACATTGTACCTTTCCTGTCAGGTTTTTTGCCGGTCGTCTGCCTTTTATCTATATCCATTTCCTCCTTAGGTTAATGCTTACCAGTGTGGATATCAGGGATCCATTTTGGAGAACAGAGAATAAACTCACTGCCCAACTAACACATGTCAATATCAATTTGATCAACTAATTAGGGGTGTTTCCTTCAAAGTGGGAGTGCATCTGTCTGAGAGACAAGGAACCAAAAGTCTGCATACAAATAAGTCAGATGCGTAAAAACGAATGTGCACACAAAACTCAAGTTCTGGATCAAGACCAAAGTCCAGGGGGTGACAAACAACCAGAACTTTGTGCCAGAGTTTAAAGCCAATGAATGCCAAAAAGAAGATCTTCTGCTGACTGATCAGTTCCCTCTACCTTTGTCTGTCAGCTATAATGGACTTTGATTTTTTTAGGCCTGTCCATTCAGTCAAATGACATAGTACTTTTGAGTTCAACGCACCCAGACATCTAAGAGAAAACAAACTATCTCCAAAATGTTTCAGGATAAATTAGTCTCAAAATTAACACTGCAAAAACAAAAATTATTGATTTTACCAACAGTTCAGACGACATCAAACTAAACAATCACATTTTTTAAAAAGTCAACAGCTTAACATACCTAGGAAGGAAGATGACATCTACAGGGAACTCAGCACCATTAATATCATCTAGAATTGCACTGGCATCAAGTGCCTTTAACAAACTGTCAAATAACTGGAAGTCACAGACACTCAGCAAACACACAAAACTTAAGATCTTCAACTCTTATGTGATTCCAGAGCTAACTTATGGATGCCAGAGTTGGAAAGCAACGGTAGCTTTAGATTTTTTTTTTTTTTTTTTTTTTATTTTTATTTTTTACGTATCCAGAAACCATGAGTTGTAAACCCTTTGGCTCGGTACTATGGATATCGCAACCCTTCGGCCTTGATTCCATTTTAGGTACCGTTAATCTGGGAGAAATGTGGCTTTTCTGCCTACCCCCGGGAGTGAACCCGGACCACAAGGAGTTCGTCACCCGGACGCCGCGAAAGTCAGGTTTAACCAACTTCGCTAGAGAGCCGGGCAACGGTAGCTTTAGATAAACAAATAGACAATTTTGAGAACAAATGTCTTAGAAGAATTCTAAATCTCCATTGGAGAGATTTAGATCCACTACGTAACTAAGACAAGAGACCAAGCTATACAATGTAGCTAATTTTATAAGAAAACACAGCTGGAACTACACTGGCCATGCACTCAGAATGGAGAAGACAAGACTTCCCCTCCCCATCAAGCCTTCATATGGACACCAGAATGAAAAACAAAAAGGGGAAGACCAAGAGAAACTCTATACAGAACTATCCTCAGGGAAGGCTCAACTAAGGGTCTAAAAAACATCACAGACCTAAGCAGGTGGCAATGAACAGCCAGGCTTGGAGAGCTTTGACCTCTGCCCTATGCATCACCCTAGGCTCAAGAGGAAAGACTGATTCAGTCACATTCTGTATCCAGGTCTTTCTTAGTCAGCCTCTTCATGTCTTCTCCTCTACAGAGCTTGAAGTATAGTTTTGGTTTTGTTACATGTTCACACCACTGTATTTTCCATCAGCAATTAAACTACAACTCACAATTAAAATGCAACTCATTATTATCAAAGCACAACTTAAGACAACTCTCTGTAATTAAACAAAACTATGTCACTTACATCATAGAAGTGATCTAAAGCCAGACATACTTCAAAGCTGCCAATCCACTGTCTGGAGTGTACAAATGATGAGGGTTTATCTCCCATTTCCACAAGTGCTTCTTGAATCTGGAAAATGCTTGCAACCGAACTGTTCTGATGTGAGCCTGATGCAGCAGCTGATGACAGATTATGGTGCCTGACCCAAGAACAGATGGTCTGTAGTGTTCGGTAGCCACAACCCCAGCCCTGAATCGATTAAAGATATAATGCATTAACTGGCGTCTGCTCTGAACACAAGAAACTGAATCCTAAAATTTTTTAGGACCCTTTTTAGTTTGGCAAATGATAAGTTAGTTAGTTAGTCGACAGATTATCGTCACTGCACATCAAACCATTCAGTCCATAAGTGCTCGGATCCCCTTCTAAGTAAATCTCACAGAGTGTAACGGCTCCCAACACAGGTTCTGTATTAGTTTCTCATTCTTCTTTGGCTTCCTGCTTAATGCTCTTATATGGCCACACATGTTGTTCTTGCAGTCTGATCATGGTTGCAGATTTGCAGTCATCAACTGGTTTTCGCAAAACATCTTATATCTTGTAGAGAATTCAGAATAGCATGGTGTTTGCTTGTCCACCCTCCACAGCTGCTTTAACCTGATCCAAACAGAAAAAATTATCAAACTTAATAAAGGGCAAATATAAGACATGAAATGTCGAGTTCTCAGAGGGAAAGCTACACAGATGCATTTGAATAAAAAACAGGTGTGCGACAGGGATGTCTTCTTGTCGCCTCTATTATTTTTACTGGCTATAGACTGGCTATGAAAACAGTAACTGTTAACACCAGAATGGAATTCAGTGGACCCCTACAAAACAGCTTGATGATCTGGACTTCGCTGATGTATATTGCCCTTCTGTACCATTCACGAATCAGATACGAGATAAATTAAATATACTTAATGCGAGATCACAGCAGCTTGGTCTGAAAATCCATAAAGGAAAGACAAAGATAATGAGAATAAATCAGGCAAGATAGTAATGTGGTTTCTCTTAATGGCACCCCACTCCAAGACGTGGAGTCGTACACCTATTTAGGCAGTAATGTAGATAAAGATGGAGGAACTGATAGAGATATTAAAATAAGAATACAAAAGACAAGAGGGGCTTTCATGGGACTAGGGAATTTGTGGGGGTCAAAAGAAATACTAAACTAAAGATTTTTAATTTTAATGTCAAATCAGTACTATTGTATGGGGCGGAAACATGGAGAACAACCAAGGCAATTACTAATAAATTACAGACATTCATTAACTGGTGCCTGCGCAGAATAGAGGGAATAAAATGGTATGACAGAATAACTAATGTAGAACTTTGAGAGAGAACTAAACAGGCTCCAGTGGACCAGGAGGTGAGGAAAAGACGCTGGCGTTGGATAGGGCACACACTGAAAAAACAGGAGAACAGCATAACTAGAATGTCTTTGCATTGGAACCCACAGGGGCATAGGAATAAAGGAAGGCCAAAAAACACATGGAGAAGAGAGCTGGAGAATGAGGTTAGAAAGATTGGGAGTACATGGGGAGAGCTCCGTGTAATGGCGAGGGATAGAACGACTTGGCGTGAGTTGGTTGAGGGCCTATGCACCATTGGGGGATAGAAAGGCAGAAGAAGAAGAAGAAAGTCCACCTATAGTTAGCTGCGTATCCTATACAGGACACTGGGTGCTTTATTAATATCCTACCCCAGGTCTTTATTAATATCCTACCCGAGGTGACATCACAGGACAGTCCAACATTTTAGAGACGGCTTTCTGGTGCTTTTAACGACCCCAAAACATCTATAACTTGCACTATCCCTGACCCACCGACGTCCCACGCGAGAATGCAGCCTAGGTCCCACGATTGCATGCAGCCTGTCTACCACTCCCTGAAATATTAGACTGGCCTGTGGATTTCCCCTGTTTGGGGTAGGATATTAATAAAGCACCAAACATTGCAGAACCTATCCCCCCCCCAGCATTTGCTGTTGTGGTTTTTCTAGGTAGAATTTACGTTCAGTATTTTGCCATTGCTTACTTAACTGTCAGCTCTCGGTACCACTGTCGAAAACATGCAAGACAAAACGTCCGCATCTGGGATTGAGCCCGGCACCTCGGCATTTCGAAGCGCGTTCGCAACGCCTTATCCAGCATATAGAATCAAGCTAAAAAAAGCTATAGCTAAGGTCCTCACAATCTTTAGGGGCCTCAAAAATAAAAAAGTCAGTTTCGGCCAGAATATATATATATATTAAACCGAGAGGCTTTTCTGCTTGCCTTGAGAGCGATATTCTGCAAAGAACATGATGTGTGATGATGATGATATCAGGACTGACTTTAAATAAAGCAAAGTAAAAGATCTTTTTTTTTTGGCCTACAGTTATCCTGGGCATGTAGTACCACGCCTATATTTTATTTCAATAATGCGGATACAAACAATACATTGCACAGTTTATGTCAGGCATATTTCTCTGTACATTTTGTTTTAGAGGATTTCCATCAAGTTATTGTTCAAACAAGGATGATCCAACGACAGGCCCAGCAATCCGGTAGGGGATTTGTTTGTTCAAGCACCATTGCTCAAGATTTATGGTGTATTTTGAAGAAAAAGCGCGATTACACCAGCGCTTCAAACCGCCACACACAAGACAGAGTCATGGAAGAAACACCTGAATTGGTTGAATTTATGATTAAGAGTAAAATCAAAGTTTTGGCAATTGCTGATATCACAAGAAAAGCTCAAGGCGTCCAGAAAATTCATAAGAACTTTGTTCTGATTTGGAAAGGGACTCAACCACAAGAAACTAATAAACATGGAGTGGGTTTTATCATTGCTCCAGAAACAAAAATATTTACTAGATTCAGAATTCATGTCAGAGAGAATCATAAGTATCAGACTGGCTGCAGGTAAAAGAAGAGTATCGTATATTCAAGTATATGCTCCTTGTAACGACACTTACACTGAAAAAGAAAGAACGGAATTTTTTGACCAACTTAGTGAAACCATCAGTAAAGTTACAGACACTGATGGCTTGTATGTGATGGGAGATTTCAACGGACATGTGGGAGAACGTCGACCTCCATGGTCCACCTATATGGGACCATTTAGTGGCAAAGAAAATAAATGTAACAACAATGGAGAACAATTACTCAATGTATGTGCAGAGCATGAACTAATTATCAGCAACATGCTATACCAACATAAGAGAAGCAAGATACTGACCTGGTATAAATGGAATAATATTAACCAAGCATCACATCTCTACGTTATGTTATCAGTGCCAAACGTGGACAATGAACAAATCACATATGCAAAAAATAACTACGTGTAAAATGCGATGTCTCTGAAGAGTCACCAACAATACACGAAGAGACAGAGTCACAAACGTCAGCATTAGAGACAAAGTTGGAACAAGAGCATGCATGAAACATAGTGAAAGACAAAGAATGAAGTGGTTTGGCCATTTAGTAAGAATGCAACCGGATCAGATTGCCTATAAGGCCTTTTACAGTATAACATCGGGAAGAAAGGCCAGAGGAAGACCCAGGAGAAAATGGATAGATGAAGTAGCTGAATACGGCCAGAAGATCCAGAAAACTGTCACTCAAATCACGCGGGAGGCACAAAACAAATATTTTAAACCACGACACTGGGCTGCAACCCGGTAAAAGTGAAGAGGACAATAGATAGATAGACAGATAGATATTTCTCGGAATCTCGTCAGGTGCGTTACTACAGAATTACACTAAGATAAAATAAAGCACAAAACTGAATAAATTCAACTGAAATGCAAATAGTTTCTTCGAACATTGTCTCTGTTTCATGGCCGCCGGAAGCTCACGTAGCCACGTGACCACCAGGGTAACTTCAAATGTACGATAAATTCCATCTGCTTACAATGGAGGGGGTTGTTGATTGTTTTTGTTATGGCTTCTATGATTCTCAAAAGTCTCCTGTTCGGAGTGTGGTAAACCACACGGAAAGCAGTGTCTGTGTCAAGTATGTGTCCGGAATTAAGTAGATGACGTTCTCTGGAAGAAGCGGGTTCTTTCCTCTTGACAGGTCTCGACACCATAGAAGAATCACTCAGCTGTGTATGTAGCCATTTGGGTATGTGCTCTGTCACTCTATTTCCAAGTTGTCTCTCCGTTCGACCGATGTAAGTCAACTGGCACTTACATGTAAATATTTTATTTCTTGTTTTGTAGAAACGTGTACTTTTTACAGTACAGATAAACAAATGTGCGATAGAAAACGAAAATTCTAATAACTGATCGAACAAAAAAAAAGAACTTACAGCTCAGTGTTTCGGAGAAAGAAGGTGGTATTGCTTGCTTACATCACAAAGCACACTGTCGATTTCCAGTGCCATGGAAATGAAACGGTGCGTCTTTTCATTATATGCACATCTTTTCATTTTTTAGTTATGGGTAATTTTTTTTTTTGCACACGGATATCTCCGATATCCTTTCATTGTTGTTGTTCATTCATCAGGGGTTATGGTGACCAGCTCTTTAATCCAGTGGTGACTGGATTAGGTGTCGTGAGTGCGCAGATGGATGGTAGGGTTAGTCCTAGCGCTGAAAGTTCTTGAGCAGTGTGGACAGGGAATTGAAACCGCTCTTCCTTACTTAAATCAAAATCACCGCGCAAGTCATCTTTTAATCTATCCATCCTTTCAAGGTAACGAGCGTGCAGACTATCTTGCTGACACTGTGGTTGCTATGGCTGGTCCAGTACTGGACAGAAGTGATGTTATTAATGCCACGCGCTGCTCTTAGAGTACCGCGAAGCGCGCCAAAGGACACGACTCCGTATCGCTGTCTAGACTGATGGACATGGGGGTGCAGTCTAGAGCTTCAAGAAATAAACATTTCACTAAGGGGACAAGACGTTTCAGTAACCAACACAGAACAGTCGTCATCATTCGTTTTACACTTGTGCAGCTTTTGATGAGGAAATCGGAGCACCTATGGGTCTGTCCGGAGTGCTGTGATGATAATCCTTTCTTATCACTAATCCTTTCATAGATCACGCAAGGAAGACGGGCTACACTACAGTGCTAGAGAAGTCTAAACTGCAAGGCCAGATCGCACGGCCGAAAGGGGAAATTAGAGTAAGCAAAGAAAAATCGCTCACGAGAAGACAAGGAAGAAGAAACATTTTTAAATGCAAATAATAATGGGATCCGTCAGTCCCAAGAGACTA